TAAAGTTTTTGGATTTAGATGGCTCTAATAGACTCAGTTTCCCAGTTGAAACTATGGTTAAGTTGACAATGTGGTTTGATTGCTAATAGGTGTTCACAAATGTGCTCTGCTAGTCTTCTGCTGTCTGTATTACCTAGTGTTACATTCCTTACACTGTATGTTGTAGATGACTTCTGTTTTTTTTTTTGTTGTTGTTGGGCTACTGAGTGTTCGGGTTTACTTAAGACAGGGGTGTCAAACTAGTGGCCCGTGGGCTGGATATGTCACGTATTGGCCCCACCCCTGCCTAGTTTAGCAAAGGGAAGAAAAGTCCAGATACGTCATGTGATGACCCTGTGATGACGCAAGTCTGATACCCCTGACTTAAAATGTCTTGGAGAGTTTATGTGCTAGTGTTATTGCATGGTTGTAATAGCCTGTTGTTTCTGATAAGTTTTTGATGTATGGTAGTTACTCTTTCCATAGCTTATGTTGTTTTGCTGCAATAGATTGAGTGGTCAGGAACCTTTTTATTCCTACACAGCACCACTTGTGGGAGGTTAGGGTGTTTTTCAATAACTTGTATTTGTATTTTGCTATAGTTTCTTCTTCTTCTGAGAATATAAAGGAAGTGTATTGTATTGCTTTCTACTTTCCTTGTGATTTTATTCCTTTAAAGATGTTGTTTCATATGTCTTCTCTAGCTATGGCTTTTTTATTACAGGAAAATTTTCACCTACATACTGGATCCATTCTTTTGATTGTACATGTGAGAGTGTTATGATTGCCGTATTACAGTCTCTGCTATACCCCACACTAGCCCGCAGTGATATTACCTTGGGTAACAAAACATCTGCAAGCAAACAACCAAGCTCAAAGCGCACCAAGGACTTCACAGTTAAGCCATGAGCTACATATATTCTCTCTCAAAAGTATTTGGTATGATTAGTTAAGAAATACACTTATCACTTAATACGCTTTTGTATTAGAGAATTAAATAAGTATTCTTGCTACATTAATTATAATATATCCTGGATTGCTTAAAACAATGTTCCTCAGCCTCTGCAAGTTTTAAATATATAGACCTCAATTCCTAGAATTTCCTGGTTTGCTGGCTCGGGAATTACGGGAGTTAAAAGTCTACAAATTAAACTTTCAAAGTTTGAGAAATATTGGCTTAAAGGATATACTTTTTACTAGATTGTATTTCACATCTTTTCACGAGTTGTGAAATTTATGTGACAGTATATGGCAACTCTGGAGCATAGTATTTGGAGAGATTTCATAATGTTGCATAGAGATACAACATTATGAAATCTCTCCAAATACTATTAATCTAACTAGTAATCATAATACTTCCCGTGAAAGCCAACTGCTTAGGTCTCAAAAGAGTGATTTAATACTCCATTCCTGTTTTTTCTGCTTGAGAATTTCTCAGGGAGATCTGATTAATCAGTAGGGTGTGAAGAATGGGCATTAAATTGATGCAGTAGGACTGCCATTGCATTATTAAAATGGTAATGTGAACTTAAGACCATATTTTTTTTGCTGAATGCAGGGTTTTATGATTCAGACTGGTGATCCTACTGGCACTGGCATGGGAGGTGAAAGCATCTGGGGAGGAGAATTTGAAGATGAGTTCCACGCAACTTTACGACATGATAGGCCGTATACACTTAGTATGGCCAATGCAGGACCAAACACCAATGGCTCACAATTCTTTGTAACAGTAGTACCAACGGTAAGTAACATGCCAGGTATTTGTCAGTTGCTCAGGTTATGATATTTTGTGGAATGAAGGGCTGTGTGATATTGCAAACTGAATAAAAGCAGGATTTTATTTTCTAATTATCTTAACCTTATTTTAAGAATTACTTTGTTGCATCTCAAGAATAAATGTCAATAGAAATTCCACAATTACCCCAAAGGTGGCAAAAATAGTAGTATGAATGCGAAACAAAATGTTTTCAAAGAAAAATACGAAGAAAGTCCAGTTGCCTTTTGGAAAAAGCAACTTTGGGACATCTCCATAGTAGTAAGACACTCTGCCAGCATTTTTGCTGGCTTTCTGAAGATCACAGAAAAGGAGCTTGAGATCTGCATGTGGACCTGAGGCCTCATTGCTCACCTTTAATCTAGCTGAAATGAAAACAATTCTAGGGGAGAGACAAGAAGGATTGAGAGAGTTGAGGATCTGAACAAGAATTTTAAAAAAGTTTAATTGGCTCTGTATTTTATCTGCTACATGTGATTTAGGTGCAATCCTGACAGTTTTCCTCAGACTATAATAGGAAAAATCTAACCACTCAAAACACAGATTTGTTGTTTACCAGTAAATGAAGGCAACAAAAAATATAAGCATAGACCCATAGACCTTAAGATTGGAATTGAGTTAGATCCCAAGATGTCCGTGGCACTAAGTAGCATTAATTCAATTGTATTTTTCACATTTGTTTTGAAATGAAATAATCGTATCATATTGAATTGTTGTCTTTTTATATTGCCATAAGAATCATAAGTAGAAATAGAATCCATGTTAATAAAATCAGTCATTTCCCTTAACAAAAGGTGGCATACTTATTTTTTTTTCTTTGTCCTGCTACCCATTTAGAAAAGAAACAAACTGCAAAGTAGAAAGATGTATACATAGTTGCCATAGGTGAATAGGCGGCAACATAAATTCATTAAATAAAATAAATATTTGCCTGCATGCATGCCTCCTAGAATTCCAGCCAAGAGCCATTTTTATGTATATAAATGTTCCCTCAATTACAGATTATAGGATCCAATTTTCAATATTGTTACTTTCAATTTTAATGTTTCTCTGTTTATTTTCGCATGTCAACTAATTACAACCACATAACAGCCATGGCTGGATAATAAGCACAGCGTATTTGGAAGAGTCACTAAAGGAATGGAAGTTGTTCAGAGAATTTCAAATGTCAAAGTTAATCCAAAAACAGATAAACCCTATGAAGATGTAAGCATTATTAATATCACTGTGAAATAATAGTAATATTAATTTTAAAAAACCACCTCAGGGACTTCAGCTATATGGAAATCTTAATTATTTCTGGTATAAAAAGTTCAGAACAAATTTCAGTCATGCCTTCAAATGCTCTGAAAAATATTTTTAATGTTTTTAATAAAAGTAAAAAACCCAACCATATTAAAACAATCATATTTTGTTTCCTGTATATATGTCTTATGTGGATATTAATTGATTTCCAGGCTTTTTTGAATGACTCGGCATGGGAAGCACATGCTATTCCATTTTCATATTGTTATGTTACTATTACAAAACATTTTACTAAGATTTGTTTACCAACTCACCTTGTGAAATGGTCTTCTTGTAGATGACTTCACAAAAAATTAAATAAAAATTAGATATTTCAGATCTGATTAAAATATTTTAGTAATGTTTGGTGTGTCAAGCAGGATTGTTAGTGAATATAGACTCATCTACAGTTGGCCAAACTATAGTTTTATGTGGAAATATTGAGTTCAGTATTTAAAAAACATTAAATCTTAGTAATAACACTGTGAACTTATTGAGTAGAGAATTATTTGCATTTTAAATGTAACTCTACTCAACATTCTATCTTATCAGGTATCTCCTGTCTATAACCCATTGTTTCATTTTGTGGGATGAAAAGATAGGGCAAACTGAAAAGCTAGCACATTTTTATGATCTTTGAATTAGCCCAGTACAATAAATGTCTTAATATAAGATCCTTGTTATAAGAAGACATTAGCTGGGAATGTTCGATTTCTTGAGAGTGGTTTCTTTAAGTCTGTATTTTCAAAGGATGTCCAAAGGATGAGACCAAAAGGTGGTTCAGTGTAAGCTAAGCATTCATAATTTTTTGAAGCAAATGTTAGATACAAAACAGGACCTATTCACTTGCCACTAAATCTAACCAGATTACAATATTATAGCTCAGAATGGGAAGTGAATGCAAAGCATTTTGAATTCTTGTTTATATATAAAGTATAATGTGGTTCCTTTGGTTTTTGACTTAGTGAGAGTATTAGGTAGTGTTTCTTTAAGGATAAATCTGACAAAACTCTTAACTACTGGCCACCAGCTAAGAAGAGAACATGACTGAATCATGCTATTGCCAATTTTGAGTTCAATTCTGTTAAATTTAATCTAGATAGTTTTATACAGAATATCCAGTAAAATCTATTCAGAGGCTTTCCAAACGTTGCCAAAATTCCAAATGAAATTACATTAAATATTGATGATAGGTACAGTACAGGAAAACTTGGCACATGGGACTAAAGATATTATATCTGGATATACATTTTAAAATAAATTCTGCAATGTAAAAATTCTATAATTTAAAAAGTATCATGATAATTATAACATAATTATTTTATGTTGTACTATTATTCTATATTACTTTCTTCGAGCAACTTCTTACTGCTATTTTTTTCCATTATGCTGATGCTGACTTTTGTTGCTTTCTATTTTTATAATAAAGAATATGGCTTGATTGTGGACTCAATATTGGAAAATTAAGTAATGTTCTCTTCAAATCAAGGACTTTCTGATGACTTCAGACACTCCATTAAATTTTCTTAGCAATAATATAGAAAAGATATGCCGTTTTCTTTTTCTGAGGTTTTTTTAAAATTTCAATTTCAAGTCTATAGGGACATATTAGTGATTTTTAAAAAATTTGAATGCTAATTAGGTCTGATACTGCAAAACTTCTGAATACCTAATGAATCAACTAGAAAGGGAAATGCCAGTTTTAATATATTTATAGTACAGTCATTCAGTTAGGAATATTTCCCTTTCACCATCATTTAGATAAATGCCACAGTCAGCTGACTATATGATGAGTTTTTAACCTTTAATTCTAAAAGAATTCAACAAGTATTAGTTCAACCACACAGAGAAACAGACTTACATTTCTGATAAGAATAAGCTTCAAAGAAGAAACAGTTTGGGTGAAATAATTTTATTACTATGATTCACTATCACAACTGTTAAATATTTATTTTGTGAGCTATTTTACATGTATTACAGGTGCAGAAGGTGGATATTTTTATGCAATAACTCTTTCCTTTGATTTATTCCTGTTTGTAATTATAAAATAACTAATGACAAAGTTATAAGCTACAGTATAACTGGATATTGTTGCATATGGTATTTTATATGTGATACCATATGATGCCTTTCTTTATCATTGTTGAACATTGCATTTAATTTTAATCAAAATTCAACTATCATTATTTTACAAAGGTCTCTTTAATCAAATACAGTCCGCTCTTAAAAATTTCTTTGCAACTGAAACAATTTTAAAAACTTGTACTCATTAGTACACTAAACAAAATTAAAGGTCAATGATGTGTTGAACAAGTTTTAATTTCTGCTTGAACAAGTTATATACAATGCAAACAAGAAGATGCTAAATGCGGTAAAACTTGAATTCAGACAATTATAATAGTTATATTCACAGTAACTTCTGTGAGTTTCAGCTAAATAATACTTTTATACAAGTACACTATATTTGCAGCAGAGCTCAACTTTGTCAATATTAACCAACAAATATTTCTGCACATTCTCCTAAAATCAACACCTTCAGAGTTTTACATGAAGCAAGCGATAGCATTTAAACTGATAAAACAATTTACATTCAGCCTTTTGAACTGCAATATATCAAGTGGTATCATGCATTCCAATAACATTAAAATGAAATAAAAGCAAGCAATACAGTAGCAGAAGTCTGACTTCACTAAAATATAGTAAAACCTTTCAAATTACTTCACAGACACAGGGTTCGCACCTACAACTTAGCTCTTAAAAACATCTAAACTTGCAGTGTATTTTGACAGAAGTTGAAGCAGGCGAGAAATGTTTGTGACAAATAACCCCTACTTTTATAGTATTTAGGTATCTATAGCCAATTATTTTAATACATTAAAGTTTCCATTAATGCATAAATGCTACAGAATGCTGAAACATGTCTGTCATCCAAACATATCTTCCAAAGGGAGAGAACCAATGGCAAATATTTTAGCTCAAATAGGTAGCTTTTTTTTACTTTAAAGACAATTATATGCAGCAATACTACTTCAATACAATATGAAAAAAAAACCCTTGATGGGTACAGTTTAAAAGATCTTTCGCTGACCTTGTTTCAGAAATGATTATGTTTTAAAGATGAACTGATATTTCATTAAGCTGATAATACTATGATCCTGAAAGTTATCTAGGATTAAGCTCCACTGAACGGCACAACACACAAACATATGTTCAATCACTTCAATTATTCAATCACTTCAATTATATTTTGAAGACGCAGACACACTTGTTCCAGTAGTATTAACTGGAAAGTATTAATAGGGAAGCAGGAGAAAACAACAGCATAGACTGGGTTGTAAGTGACTGCTCTTCCATTAGCTACAGACTTTGGAATACCATTCAACAAGGACCGTATCATTGGGCATCCAAATTCTGGGCTGATCCTTCACTGCAGCTCATGCACTACTGAAGCAGGTAGCAAAGTCTCAAATCAAACACACACAAAAGTAACAATGCCTCCTTTTGCAATCTGCATGAACTTCATACATGACAGCAGGTTCTGACTTTTTTATGCATTCAATGAGTAGGCCAGGAAGGAACTCTTAGTTTCATCTTCCCTAGGGTTCTGACTCTGGCAACCTATCAATACTCCCAATTGTTTTCTCCAGTTCTGCCACATACTTCCAATCGTCAACGCAGTTTCTGGACTCCTTGTTCTCAGCAGCTCTATTTTTAATTAGATAAACAGGTCTTTTATTGATCATCTATTATTGATGATGGAGCATATCTACATATTTGCTATCAAAATCTTGCTTTAATTGTCACTGGACTTTTGGTGAAGAACTATTGCTTTGGTAAGAAACATTCTATTGAGGAAATTCTGCTTATCATGGCTATAGCTTCACCCTTTGCAGTCTTAAAACAGTACTGATTTCAGCACTCGAAACAGAGTTCTGAATCTGAACATTTACTTATGTATAAACTAAATAGAGCCTCTTTAACAAGAAAATTAGCAGGAATTATAAATATGCACTCCTAGATTTCTCAGAAAATTATCAAAATTTTCAGTCTAGAATTAGGCTACTCTAGTTACTCTATCAAGCAAACTTTACCTTAAAATGTAGTGCATGTCAAAATGAATGAATTCAAGTATTAACATAAAGTTATTAACCATGGTAAAGCATGACCCTTAGTGTATTACTTGATAAAACACAAAAAACTAAACAATATTAAACATCAAAATTACCAATTCATAGAACTTTCCCCATCAATAAGCCAAATAGTATCAAGGGGGAAAATGAAAAATCTTTATAGAAATCACAGTAAAAAAAATTAATCTGAAAGCAAATCTTAATTCAAATTAAAGTAGAATTAAATGCGCAGTCTGTGGCACGAGGGAGATAGTGTGCTTCCATGTTTTCACACACACACACACACACACACACACACACACACACAAAAGGATCTTCAACTTTCCAAGATTTCCTCATAAATCAGATTTTGAATAATTACATATTAAAGAGAAGCTAAACCTGATATTAAAGAATAGAGGGACATAGCCATATATCATCAGATTAGAATGAACTGTAAACCTAACAATCCCAAATTCTGATAAGGATTAAGTTGACAAGGAAATGGCATTCTGACATGCAATCTCAGCTAAAAATAAGCTAAGATGCTAAGACAAGGGCACGTAAGTCTTTTAAAGAAAGTCTGATTTCTATGTACCACTTTAAGCAAATACTGGTAGTTGTAAATTCTGAAACATTTGTTACATAATTGGAAATAGCATCTGCCATATATCTAACTGGTAGCTTTTCTGTAAAGCAGAGCTGTTTTTTCACTCCAACAACATCCCAACTGAGATAAGAAAAGAGGAAGACAAACTATCTGGATAGGGGCTTGCTTTTCATGAGTTTTTATGACAAGAAATTTAATAGACAGCAATTTGTCAAAGATGTAAAATCCCAACTCCTACAGAGAATTTGGTGAAATATAATATGAAGAGAGAAAGAAGCAAGAAAGGCATGTAGTAGAAGCAGTCTCCATAAAATGGAAAAGGCAAATAAAGCAGTCAGAACATTTTTTATCTAAGCTGATATTTGGATGGTCTGGTACATTTCCCACAATTCACAGCAAGAATGTGTAACTTTGATATCTTTGTAAATAATTAAGTTGAGAAATGCTGCTCTTATTTTAATATTCAAGAGACTGCCTTTATTTTTCTCTCCATTTTTATTAGAATGTATTTTTTTCTGGGCAAAAATTTCCTGCCCTTTCTAGAGTTGAACAAATGGTTTGCTGAATCTTCAATTTTTGCTACAACCTGCACTATTAATTTTTAAACTTCTCATCTCAACTACATTAGTGGAGGTCCTATTTCACTGTTATTTTTTTCTGCATTTTCAAGGCTGCTCATACTTTAGTGAAAGCACACCACTAACAAGCAATGTGTGCATGAAAAATTAATAAATTTATGATATATGATTTCAACAAATTAAAAATACCAGCAGATCGTATGCAATTAAAGCACATAATATATTTATAAAGAAATTTCACCTGATAAACAGGTCATAGAATAACTTTTCAAATCTGTCAGATATCATATTTAATGTTTTCTTAAATATCAACTTTGAATGGATGGAATATCTGTACATTAGAAATTTCTAAATGTATCTAAAAACTAACATGAATGTGTAATTGAATTAATGCAATTTTGGAGGCAGCCTTAATAAGTCCTTAATAAGTCCAATACCAGTCTGGTAAGCCACATTTGCAGAATAATAACAGTAATAAATATATCTCTGATTAGCACAACAGGTTTTCCAAGATACAGATAATAAAAAGATCCTATGCTTATAGGAAATTTTACCTAAATGATATGTGCAAAAATGTATAATTATTTAGTATCAGAGAAGAGTTTCCTCAAAAGCAGCATCCAAATTGAGTAAAATAAGAATAAAGGAAATATATAAAAGCAATAGTAAGGTTATAGTCCAAGTGAAAAACTGTTATTACTATACTAGTATTGATATGGGCTTGATTTTTACAAGCAAAAGCTATTAACCAGAACCAAATACTTGTGCAGTCAGTTCCTGCTTCACTTTAATATATAGTAAACTATGTTGGTAATGTGAAATAATGGTTATACATGCACCCAAATCTGAGAGAACAAGTGAATGCAGCAAGGCCATCACTGAAAGAAGTGAAATTAAATAGATGCTAAGTCCTGAGAGAAGGATGTTTAACAGGGAAGGCTGAAGATCCTCAGTTCAAATTTCTTTAAAAGAAATTAAGGCACCTTTCCCACAAATACATTATGTCACTATTTGGTTACTGTAATTTACAAGTTATACCTACAGTGCGCTTCAGTCTAGCATTCCAACAAAACATTTTTAAGGAGTAACAGGTTTAGATGAAGTTCATATCTGATCATATCAATTCACATAAATAATCAACTGATCTTTATGCTTACTGGCTCTCTTAAGCCACATCCAGTACACCTGCAGCTACCAGATGCCTTGAAAGCCAATCCAGTCCTTCATAAAGTCCCATGCCGCTTCGTGCATCACAACCTTGAATGTACCAGCTACGACCGCAGCAAAGTTTGTGGAGATTCAGTAATTCTGTGATTTCTTCTACTGAAAGTGCCCCTGGCACATCCTGTAAAGACAGCCCCATAGTATTAGTATGCAGACAGATAACAGTTTAAAAGTAAATGTTTTTAAGAATATGCTTTTTATTAGTTTGGACATGTAGCACAATGGGGGGGATGCATTTAGGAGCAGCAGAGAAAAGACAGACCACAACTTTTATTCTAAAAATATTGCTACAAATTTCATATAATAAGAAATGCTTAGTCCAGTCAACCTGTAACTCTTGGAAGAGAGATAGCAACACCATAAATCATTTAAATTGTTTCGGTAGCTACATTCAAATTATGTGATTCTTCCAACCAACTTTCAACTAAGGATCCTGCTTTGAGTTCCAACCATTTGTAGAAATAAGTCGAAGAAATAAACTCAACGCAAGAAACCAGAAACAGAAAACTACAAAGGGGTGGGCAAAAAAATAACTAGTGTTAGAAAGCAAAATTTATTTTTAGCTCTAGTAATTACAGGCTAATATAGGTTCATATCAGCCTTTAGTGTGGATTACTGACAATGTAACAAGTTAACACAAAGACCAGCACTCTGGAGGATTAACTTGGTATTCGGTGAATGGACATAGGAAAGAGTTTCTTTTTTGTTTTGTCCTACCCAAGAATTATTTTGCTCTCAATCCATCTTCTGATGGACTGAAGAAACAGAAAGAAGGAAAACAGAAAGTCATCCTCCTCATGGAAGGCATCCCATTTAGCTATTCAAGTAAAGAAGGAATGGAAGACCGAGATTTGAATGAATGCAGCAGATAAAATAATTGTGGCAAAAAGATTATTATTTTTAATAAAATCATCTAATATTTTATTTTAATTGATTGTGTTCTTAAGGATTGTCATTTAAATTACAACAGTTTTTGATTTATTCTGTATTTCTCTCCTATTTTATACTGCCAAAATGAAAACGATGGAAATGAAACAGAGAGAAAATAATAATGGGCTATATTACCTGCTTGTTAGCAAAGATCAGTAACAAGGCATCGCGCAGCTCCTTCTCTGTTAGCAGTTTGGCAAGTTCACTGTGTGCCTCACTAACTCTGTCTCTATGGCTGCTATCAATGACAAAGACCACGGCTACAGAAAAGAACAATTATGCAATTATATGTTATTAATTTGTTTCATCATACTAAAATTTTATTTTTTTTAGGTCAGGAGGAGGATTAAATTTTAAAATCAATTTGAAAGCTAGGGCTTAGTACAAATTTCCAAAGTGGCATCTACTTGAAGCAGACTCATATATTACACACAAAAAACACAGCCTCCTATGCAGCACCAGAAAACTTTAAAAATAGCTTTCGAGATTACACAGAAGAAAACTTTATTAGTTGAATAACCAGCAAACGGAATGCGAGGAAGGGGTTTTAATGACCTGCTTATCCAATCTAACAAAATTTGCTCCAAATAGGATAGCACTAAGAAGAGGATGAAAGAATCAGTGAAAATATCTATTTTTCCCTATTCCACTGCGTGTGTGTGGCAATTGTAGTGACAGGAAGCTCTGCTGGATCCAGTTTAGCCATAGGAAGAAACTTCAATTCATGGAGAAGTAACCATGGATCAAACCCAATGTTTCAAGTGTTAAGAAGGTCCTCATTTAACAACATTTGTTCAGTGACCAAATTTGCAATGGTGCTGAATGAATAGTAGTTATAACTGTTCCTCAAAGTTCTCAGTGTTCTGCGGTCACATGATCACACTTTACAACCTTCCCTGCCAGGTTCCTTTAAATAAAGTCAATGGGGAAACAGGCAGGAAGTAAGAAATGGTGATCACATGAGATTTTCATTTAAATATCAACACAGTCTTTGCTTAACAACAGTAACCGGGACGGCTGGAACTGCCACAGCTAAAAAATACGGTCATTTTATGTCATGCTTTACAACTACATCACTTAGTGATGGAACTTACATACCCAGTTACTATTGTTAATCAAGGGCTACTTGTAATTGAAATTGTAATATGGCTAATTGCAGTTTTATCATAGTGACAACATGTACTTCTATGGATTTTTGCATTATGCTATATATAGGACTGTTTATGAAAAGTACTATAATTAGTTCAGAAGATTGCAGCTCATCTGTTCACAGGAACATATGAAAGTGGTACTAAATTCCAACTTAATTCTCAAAACAATGCAAAATATTAACAATGACTTTCAAAGCCTTGAATGATATAAGATCAAGATATCAAGATAAGATCAAGAAGGACCATCTTCTTCCTCATGAAACTACCTCTCTGCCAAGATCATCTTTGGAGGCCCTTCTAGTATGTCCTGCATGATTAAGGTCTAGAGAAAAGTCTTTCACTGATTGCATATAGGTTTTCAAACTTCACTCCAAAGAACGTCTCTCTTACTTCCTCCCTCAAAAGTTAGTGAAAACTCTTCCTTCTAAGGAGGGTCTTTAGTTAGTATATCATCTTTATTAATTCTGTTGTTGCTGCTGTATTGTCTTTTATGTTTCTGCTTTTCAGAGAAATTATTTTACTGTTATCTGCTGTAAGTTGCATAGATTTCTGTGAAGGATATGTGGGATATAATTTTTTTAAAATTATCAATCCCATTATCATTTACAGACTTTTGCAAATCCTCCAGAAATTATAAGCAAATAAATATAAACATTATCTACATCTTAAATATTTATACTTTGAAGTTAAATGAATTTCCATGGGAGTTATTTTCACATTAACTACCAAAACCTTTGTATGAGAGAGACAATTATATTTAAAGTAATTAAGTCACAAAGCACTGTATTCTTACCTTGTGTATTGAGGTAATAATGTTTCCATAAAGGCCTCAGTTTGTGTTTGCCACCTACATCCCAAATAGTGAATTTCAGGTTTTTATATTCTACTGTCTCAACATTAAACCCTAAGGGAATAAAAGAAATTTCATTACGTATTCCTAACAAAACATACCCAAGAAAATCACAATTTTTAAAATCTCTTGTCACTTACCTATGGTTGGAATGGGTTGCATGAACTCATCTTGTTTTAGTTTAAATAAAATAGTAGTTTTGCCTGCTCCATCTAATCCAAGGGTCACCACTCTAATCTCCATTTTTGGTCCAATGTGTACTCTGTTGTCCTGGAGTAGAGAAAAAAGAGGTTTGCTCATTTTAGAAGCTAAAATTCAAAGGCATTCTTACATGTTATCCAAACGTCTTATCCCTTTTGTTATAGAAGTCAGGAACTGAGAAAGTAGTTTAAATAGCTTGTCAACATCCTCAGGCCTTAACAACTTGATGTTTCATAAGCAACATTGACCAGTATTTTACAAATCTCTAATTTTGGAAAAACACTGAGGTGTGGTGCCCATATTGTGGTGGATAGGAACAATTTTTAAAATAACTGCATAATCATCTTCATTAGAGAAAGGAAATACAACTGTGGTAGTGGTGTGTGTGTGTGTGTGTTTGGATAGATAGATAGATAGATAGATAGATAGATAGATAGATAGATAGAT